GAGATGTTAACGGTTCCGTGTTAATATATGTGTTTAAGAGTCCATATGTTCGTGTAAAGTTTGGTTTAAAGTAATACTAGAATTTAATATGCTGCTATCCAGAATATATAACTACAATATGTGTTTATAATATTTCGGGTGTTCATTTTGACATGTTCAGATGAATTATGTTAAAAAAACGGCTTTCGAGTGGCACTTTTTCACTTCCGCATTGAAACGCTAGGGGGGGCCAAAATGGCGGCGATGACGTAGGAGAAGGGTATCTCACAGCAGCAGCAGCAGTCTGGGCTGGAAACTGTAGGAGGTTTCACTGTCATCTGAACAAGGTATAAACATATTTTCATCCGTTTTGTACATAATAGTGTGCAACTCTTTTAACCTTTTAGCCTTATTTGTGAGATTCAAGCTAATTAGTGTTGGGCAAGTTAGCTAACTCTACTTGATATCATAAAACATGCTAACAAGGCTAATATTCGTTTTTACATTATGCCAGGCTCACTGTGGTTGCCTTAGATTTATTTACCACAATGTACATTGTAATATCCATAAATGCTAACGCCTATTAACGGTTTAATTTATGAATATTACAATGTACATTGTGGTAAATAAATTCAAGGCAACAGCAGTGAGACTGGCATAATGTAAAAACGAATATTAGCCTTGTTAGCATGTTTTATGATATCAAGTAGAGTTAGCTAACTTGCCCAACACTAATTAGCTTGAATCTCACAAATAAGGCTAAAAGATTAAAAGAGTTGCACACTATTATGTACAAAACTGATGAAAATATGTTTATACCTTGTTCAGATGACAGTGAAACCTCCTACAGATTCAGCCAAGACTGCTGCTGCTGTGAGATGCCCTTCCCCTACGTCATCGCCGCCATTTTGGCGCCCCCTAGCGTTTTTATAAAGGTGCCACTTGAAAGCCGTTTTTTTAACATAATTCATCTAAACATGTCAAAATGAACACCCGAAATATTATAAACACATATTGTAGTTATATATTCTGGATAGCAGCATATTAAATTCTAGTACTACTTTAAGTACTGGTTTAGGTGTTCCTGTTTACAACAATAAGCAGCAGGTTGGGTGGTTTCTCGCATACTTTTTTTTCAAGAGACTTGTAGGTAATAAATAAACAGAAAGACAATATACAGAATCATGACAGCCCAAGTTGATTAAATTACGTTTTTAGCCAAAAAATCATTCTGTTTTTTTTTGTTTTTTTTTTTGGGCATTCTCGCGGGTTTTGGGCTGGAAAAAATGCCGGCATTTGGCAATCCTTGGGAATCGTGTGCTTCAATGTGAGTGGTTGAAGTAAGATGTCATTCAAGATAACTGACAAGTGGTTTATCCACTCACATATTAGGTTTTTTTTTTTTTTTTAACAAGGCCCCGCCTTCTGAAATCCAACCGCTATGGCTCAGATCCAGACCCCTGTGAGAAGCGCAGCAATCTACAAGGGTCTGGCGAGAGTCAGGCTAGCTCCAATATGCATTGTGAAGCTCATGGGATGCAAAATGCTTCCCACAGTCAGCAAAACTTGAACACAATGAAAGAGGGAGAGGAGAAGGTCATGGAGGGAGAGAGCAGGCCAAAGGGGGAGAGGAGCAGGCTAAAGGGGGAGAGATAGACAGAAAGATAGATACTTTATTGATATCCCCATAGGAGAAATTCAGGTGTCCTGTAGCAGTAAAAATAAAAAATAAGCCAAATTTATAAATTTGGCTAACATCTATAAATTATATGAACATTTTTCTTTGTCGAGTTGTTAAAACAAGCACATGGGACATTCAGATTTTCTTTCCTCACTGAATTAGTCTCTGGTCGCCACCTCAATATGAACACTGAGACCCGGTGAACCTCAAGGAAAACAACAAAGTGACGTCTCAATTTGTCTTCTATGGGCAGTTTTGGAAAAGAAGCATCTGAAGACAGAGTTCTTCAAGCTTGCAAGCTTTCACTTTACCAAACAGTCAACAAGAATGGGGTTGAGCGTGGATGGTACTGGCAGTTCACCGCAGGAGGCTTGGTAAAGGGAGGATCTGTACATATCATATCATATCATATCAAACTTTATTACAGATTCAGGGTCCAGGATAAGACACATAACACATAACACACATCACATAAAAACACAAAACAACACATGTAATCACAACAATAAGCCTCACTTCTCAGAGCAAACAGCTGTACCAGTGTCTCCACAGATCTGACTGGTACCGCATGGCACTGAATTTGACATTTGTCAGGCTTATGACAATACAATTCTGGCTTTCATTGAGCCGACAAATAAAACTGTACATCAAACATCGCATGGCGGCCTGGAATGTCCTTATTCCAGCTGACACAAACAAAGTACTTGCACTTTCCCATCGTGGCTTTTTCAATAAAATCCTCAGACAGTCATTGTATGCCACATTGAGTTTGCGGATGGTTGCTTTTTTGTATTTGGTCCATAAATGTGCCGTGTATAATGACGTACAGTATGCTTTAAAAAGTGTCTTTTTCACCTGCGCTGTACAGGCACCAAACTTGCGCACCAGCATGTTCGCCTGAACGTACAACATACGACATTGCCTGAGAATGTCCTCATCATCAGACAGATCATCACAAATAAAATGGCCTAAGTATTTATATTTGGAACATACACTTAGTTCAACACCACACAATTTAAATTGGGGAAAGTTTACATTTACATCATCTTTAGTTCTACATAACATTATCATACTTTTGCTTGCATTATACCTTACATCATACTCTACACCATGCTTAGAGCAGACATTGAGAAGGTCCTGTAGACCTGCACTACTAGGGCTGAATACAGCAAGGTCATCCGCATACAACAGATGATTCACCTGGATTGGCCCAATCATACAGCCCGTTTTACATGCACTTAACTCTAAGGACAGATCATTCATATACAGGGAGAATAAAACAGGAGAGAGAATTCCTCCTTGCCGGACACCATTACTAACAGAGAATGGATCCGACATGGATCTACCCCATCTCACCTGCATTACCTGATGGGCATACCAGTATACTAAAACTCTCACAATATAACGAGGCACCCCTCTCTCGTTCAGCTTTGAGAATAATTTCCAGTGATTTACCCGATCAAATGCTTTAGATGCATCGATAAAACACAGAAGAACAGATGATGTTTGACTTTTATATTTTCTTATTATTTCCTTGAGAGCAAATATGCATAAATCTGTACCATGTTTAGATTTAAAGCCAAACTGGTTGTCTGTGGAGCAGATATAATCTTGTAATCGAGATAACAGTATTTTCTCCAAGACTTTAGACAATATGCTTGCCAGTGCGATTGGTCTATAATTGTCCAAACTACCCATTCTACCAGCTTTATCCTTTAAGACTGGGACAAGCGTGACAGAGAGAAGTGAGTCTGGGAGAATTCCATGTGTCAAACAGCTAGAGAAGCAAATGGCCAGCAGAGGACAAAGTCTTTTGCTGGCATGTATCAGGTGCTCAGCATAAATGTTATCAGCACCACAGGACTTATTAGCCGGTAACTTTTGAATTGCTTGATACACCTCATGGGCACTTATGGGTACATATTCACTTTGGTCAATTGTGCCAGCATTAAACATATCACTGTGGACACAATTGAACAGATTATAATAATGTCGTTTCCAGCATCCAACTATGTTTTCTGAGCCAGAGATCCATCTACAGTGCAAGGTAGAGATGTTTTACTACTGTTGAGATTTCGCACCTCTTTCCAAAAATCCATAATATTGCTGGATGTAAGTTTACTGGCCAATGAATCTGACCTCATACTTTTTCATTTCTTGAGATAAATCGAATAGCATATTTGTATCTGGCATTGGTAATCTTTTTATTCTCAAAAATAGTGCCATGTCTCGGTCTCCCTGCTACAGTCCATTCTCTTGTAGCTTCCCGTGCTTCCTCGTAATACCCAGCTACATACATATTCCAGCCTGGTCGCTTTTTGTGATTATGTTGAACTTTTTTATAAAAACATTCACTACTTTTAGACAAAACACTGATAATATTATCATAAAAACTACAGATATCCATTTTATGGTCCACTTCAACACAATTAGTGTCAGTACATCTAATAGCATTGTGTGGAACATGTATACTGCTTAAAAGTTTGTCAGATCTAGTAAAATAGGACAGGAGGTCTTCCTGTGTACAAGCTGTCCAGTCCAGCCTCCCCTGCTTAACTGGGCCATTGTGTGTTGTCAGTCCTGGTAACTGGTCAACGTGTATATTAAAAGAGATAGGAATATGATCTCCAGTAACAACACTGTAAAGTATTTGCATAGATGCCAGGGAGACATGTGCATCAGCTGTACTTATACAGTGGTCCAACCATGAGGTTGTATGCCAAGCCTCACTAATATATGTGTAGCTCTTTATAGGAAGTAAACATCTGCTAGATAGAATATAGTCATGATCCTCACAGAATTGTAGCAAATGTTTACCAAATAAGGAAGTCATGTCTGCAATGTCTGCATTCATGTCTCCTACAATGTAAACACTAGATACAGGGCTGTCTTCAACAAACGCATGCAAAAAGGCCAGCTTATCTAAATATACATCTTCATTTTGTTTGCACTCATACGGAGTGTAGACATTAACTATTATAAATTCTTTATCATCACAAGTAAAATGTAGACCAATACACCAGTCAACTCCAAGTCTGACAACTTTAACGCATGTATCAAGAGACTTTCTCCAGAGTATTGCCACACCCCCTGCTATTCTACCCATGACAATACTCCTGTTAAAATCAGTAGTGGACTCACCAGCCCCATGAAAATACTCATTAAACGAGTTCAGCTTTTGCAAGTCTTGTTGAGATAAAAAAGTCTCTTGCAAACACAGTATGTCGCAATTTTGCAAAAGTCCATCGACAACCAAGCGACGAGCTTTATCTGCAGCACTGTTTCCAAGCCGTAGGCCCCGACAGTTATAAGTCAGAAGACGTAAATCCATAGCTGCATTTTAGGGTACCACAGCGGTGCCATTGCGCGCACTGCCCACAGGGTCACCTGCGCCTAGCTCACCCCTGTTGTACCCCACACGACGCGGCTCATAGTACCGCCGAACGAGTGCACCCTCTGGCCACAGATCAGGGTCATACATCTCATTTACGTCATTACACTCCGCAGATATTTTAAATGAACTGAATCGATTGTGCGCCGTGGTGATCTTTTGGCATGATACATCCCGGTTGAGTTTGTTCTTTAAGTATTCCGCTAATGTTACATCCTCCAGATCAGGTGAAAATCGAGAAGCAAACACACTCACCAGTTTGGTCTGTATGGTTCGGATGCTGCCCACAGTCCCAGTGCCAACGATAGGCTTAGTGGCCCGTGGCTTCCTCCCCTGTCCCGTGCGTACTGCATTAGCTTCATCGGTTGTTGCGCGCCGGCTCCTCTTCACAACCTCACTCCACTTTGGCGACTGCTGCCCCCGTAAACTCCTCTCCGCAGCGGTCCCTGCATACACCTCCGGAGCCGGTACTGTCGGAGTCGCTGTCTCCGCTGCACTTTTCTCCCCATGGGTCAGGACCTCTTTCACAGCAGACACAAGAGGCATAGCTTGCGTCGTGACAGCTGCTACATCCACGTTAGCGGGCCAGGCCCGCTCATTGCGCTCCCTCTCCAGGGAGCACACCCGGTTGCAGATCCCGCTCGCAGCAATGCGCAGATCACTAGTAATGCTGACTTGTGAGTTCATTATTTGCTTTAAAGCGCCAACTTCTGCGGCCATCTGCTCCATTTTTGTTAATAGACATGAGACGTCCAGACTATTAAACGTGACAGGTGGGAGCTCATCCAGATAATAGGAAACAAATCTGGGAATATTCTCCCCACACTCATTTAATACTTTAAGGCAGCTTTTGATGTTGTTGGCATCTTTCTGCGCTCCCTTGTGTGTGACATTCCTTTGCGAAGAAGGGCAGAGCTCAAAGAGGGCCTTCTTGGAGGCCTCAATCCACTCGGAGTCAAATGTGTTAGCAGCCAGAATAATAATCTCATCCTGGCTCATAATCTTCATTTTTACACAAAGGAAATTGAGCAGTTCATCTTCAACAATTGTTTTCCCATCAGTTGTTTTGTATATCTCTGGTTTCAAGCGAGAGCGTTTGAAAACTGGAGCAGAGTTGTGACCAGCAGCTGTGTCAGCCATCTTTTGGGGCGTCTTTTGGGGCATGTACAGAGACAATGAAGACACATGTTGAAGCAAAAGCAACAATGCAAAAAAAAAGGTTTTTTTTTAAACAATGTTTAGCGGCAAATTGTTGGCTATTCAACAATAACTCAAAAAACTGCTGTTGTTTTACAGCTAAAGTATGATTAACAGTAGCCAAATAACATAAAAGCTATAACACAAAATTGTAGGCCTTTTATTACACACCTACATGAAATGAACGTTCCCTTTAAGGAAAACAAGACGCTCGGCATTAAGAGGGGACAGCCGGTTGCGAGTGTGGGAACGAATGTCCCCAGCAGTACTGAAAAGTCTCTCACTGGGCACAGTAGTTGGTGGCGGACAGAGATAGATTTTTGCCGTTGGAGCCAGCAGAGGAAAACGCTGCTGGTTTGCTTTTCACCACTGGAGAGGAACTTCTGAGGGCAATGAGGGGTTCGCCAAAAAACGCACTTATCTCCGCGTCTGCACCTGATGTGACTATCTTGGAATTGCTGCGGTAGAGATCGTCCCAGCCGCTCCAGATTCCTGAACAGTGTCGTTTAGTGCGAAGTGTCGGGCCTCGTTCCTCAGACTGTTCCGTTGCTGTAGGCCGAGCAGACGCGCCTTGATCTGATTCACGCAAACGGGATACAGCCTCCTGCACAAGCAACTTTGAATAGCACTGTTCCGTGTCACTCACCCAGAATTTCGCCTTGTATCTGGGATCCAGACTTGTTGCCACAACTAAGTGGCTATTCTGCTCGCTTCCCTCAAACCTATCCTGCAGAGATGTCAGTAAGCGGGTTCTCATCTGCTTGATTCCATGAGCGTCTTTCGTTGTGGATATAGCGCTTCAACATCATCACAGCTGGCAGGACAGTGGATATACACGCATTTTCTGCGCTTATTTCTCGAGTCAACTCCTCGAATGGTCTGAGCACCTTGAGAACATCCTCTGTGCATGAATATGTTGCATCCCATCTGTCTCGGACAAGTAGATATTTATGGCACGTTTTTGTTCTATTAAACGGTCGAACATAAGATATGTCGAATTCCATCGAGTTGTCACGTCCTGAATTAAATGGTGATTTGGCAGCCCCAACTCTTGCTGTAGAGCGGAAAGCCTGGATTTAGCACTTGAGGAGTGCCTAAAGTGACCAACAGTTTTCCTGGCCAGTGCGATCAAGTCAGAGACATTTTGTTGTGACAAAAGACTGTCGTGAATGCACAATTGGAGCGTGTGTGCAAAAAAGCCAGCACTTGGAATCCCTGCCTCGGACATGGCTTTCCGCATGTTTGCAGCATTATCCCTCAAGACCAGGTGACACTTGTTAACAGGTATGTCCCACGCTCTGATAATTTCTTGTAGTGCATCAGAAATGTTTAATGCGGTGTGCCTTCCCTCAAATGCTTCACATCGAAGAATAGCATGTGTGCGTTGAAAATCATCATCAATCCAATGTGAGGTCACACTGATGTAGGACTGTGTAGTGTACTCACAAGTCCATATGTAAATGCAAAAGCCTGTGCTTTGGTAATATGTGCTTGTATGCGGGAAGTGATGGACTCGTGCATTTCAGGGATTATTTTCTCAGCAAAAAAGCATCTGGAGGGGATTTTGTATCGTGGTTCTAGCAGATGTAGTAGCTCATTGAATCCGGTGTCTTCCACTATGCTATAAGGCTGCAAGTCAATGGCTATCATTTTCCCAATTGCTGCATGAATGGCTTTGGCTCGTTGGTGATCTGAGGCCCACTGTTTGTTCAGTGTAGGAGTAGGACTGGCAAAGCTGGTGATGGTTGTCTGGCTAAAACACGTTTTTAGCTGTGACTCTCCTTCCTTTGCTGAAGTTATGTGTACTGCATTTTGGCTCCTGTCTGTAGATTCCTTAATGCTCAACTCATATTCTTTCAAATGTTTCATCCGCAAATGCTTTAGCAGCGGCGAAGTAGTGTACTGTTTCGGGTCCTTGCCACCACGGGACAATTCGGTATTGCAAATTGTACATATAGCTCGACTAGAATCACCCTCTTTTGACTTAAAGTACTTCCAAACAAAACTCTTTCTGCTCACGAGTTCCATAGTCACAAGCTAGCTAGTTGCTGCTTTCTAACGGGCCACTATGCTGATGCAACGTGTGTGTGTGTGTGTGTGTGTGTGTGTGTGTGTCGGAAGTAGACAGAAACAGTGCGAGAGGGAAAAGTGCGGGAGCGAGTGTGGGACCGGAGCAAGACATGGAACGTGTGTATGATATGATTGACATGCTGTTTTTGGGAGTAAGCTCACTTGAGTCTTGAGCAACAGTCCGGAGTGTCCTTGAATCCGCACCACACTTTGATAGTGAGGGTCAAACAAGAAGGGAGTTATACCCCGGAGGGACGCATCCCTCGACCTCAGTCTGGGGGTGGCGTAGCGCGCATAGTGTTCAGTTCGGTGGGGAAAAAAATCTAAGGTTTGGCCAGAAACCGAACCCTGTAAAAAACACTAATATTCGGCCGAAACCGAATCCTGGATTCGGTACATCCCTAGTAAGAAGTGAGCTGACAAATTCAAAACTGAAGAAGGAGCAGCAGCAAATGAACACCCCAGAGCACGAGCTGATCCAGGAGGTCAGTACGCGATGGAATAGAACTTATTACATGGTGGCGAGACTCCTGGAGCAGCGCTGGCCAGTCAATTCAACTCTGATCCAGAGGTAACACCAAGTGGCAAGCACTACTTTGACCTGAAACCGTAGGAGTGGGTGCGACTTGAAGACCTGGATGTTAAGATGTTCTTCACAGAGGCACCAACAGCCAAAAGGGGTGACCTTCTCAGCTGGGGGAGAGAAAATGAGGGGCGTTTTCCCACACTGTCAAACCTAGTAAGATCTCTTTTTTGTATCCCCCCGCAGAGCGAATCTTCTCAGCAGGAGAAAAGATCTGCTCCCAGAATAGAGCAAACCTCAAACGAGACTGACTTTTCTTAGTATGAATAAACTGAACAACATAGCCTGAGCCTCATGTTGATTTTAAACCCAGTTTGTCCTCTATGGCAGCTTTGTGCCCAGGTTGTATCACACAGTCCATGTTTACAACTTGAATTTTGACAACTGCTTTATTTTCAGCTGTGTATCTACAAATGTCAGTTGTTAACTCATTCACTGCCCATGACGACAAAACTCGTCATGTTGAATAGTAACGCTCACTGCCCATGACGAGTTTGACGAGTTTTTCATGTTATTACACGGGAGGCTACAGTAATGTCTGGCGCACCTTATGCATGACCCACAATACTGATACATTGTACAAATGTACCTGTAATGATAAATCAACACCAGTAGGATGCAGTGTCGCGCCACAGGAGAGCTTAAAAGCCAGTGGAGAGGAGAAGGAGTGTGGGAGTGTTTGGAGAGCGTGGTGAGTGGCGGTAGTATAGCGAGAGAGTAGCATAGCGAGTAGCGAATTTAGCGATAGTTGAGATTATATAGGTGAGAGTGATGGCGAGTTATAAGCAGTTGACACTGCTTGAGAGTTTGGCTCGTCGATCAGTGAGTCAGGGAGAGAGGGGAGCGAGTGTAGACCCCGGCGAGGGTCCATCATCGCGGCAGCCAACTTTGCGCAGAGGGAGAGCGCGTAGCAGCCTGCCGCCTCTCGCAGCGTTTCACCTGCTGTAACTGATGACTCTGATGACTTCAGCGAACCTGATCCCGATTAAGAACTTGCTATGTTACCTAGAATATGCTAACTTGAAAGGAGGGAAAGGCGCGGAAACTTGCTATGAGTAACACAGCGCTCATATCCCTACTGCTTCTTTAGTACATGCCACTTATATTTTTTTTTATCATTGTAGTATTTATTATATATTTATTTGTTTCGTTATGTTTTACTTGTACATCTTGTTGCCAATAGCTCTGACTAAATGAAATGTGTTCTACATTCACAGGTTCTGATAAAAGTAGAGAGCCCTCCCCCTTTGGGGTTGGCAGAGCAAGGAGAAGAGGTAAATCCTCCTCATACCATTATATATATTTGTGTTTGTATATTCTCCTAGTATATAGATTCTATATACATGAATGAATGAATGAATGATACATATTCCTATTTACAGGTGGTGCAGCAAGAGGCGGTTCCTGTGCAAAGAGAGGTAAATAAACTAATTTCTATTCTTGCACATCACATGGCAATAATATATAATATAGTATACTATACTATACTATTAGTATGTTATATTATTTTATGTATTTTGCTTTTGTACATTATTCATTCATACATGAATGAATGTACAACTTTCATTCATGCAACTACTGTATTGTTTTGGTCCAAAAATAGTCGGTCAATGTGGGAAGATACGTATACATTGTATTTTATGTATTGATTTTTGTAACAAAGTCACTGTATAATATAGTAATTGTATGTATCCACTTTGCAGCCCGTGCATCACGCAGAGGCTCTGGGGAAGATGGCTGACAGGAGGATGAGTGGGAGCCGAGTCAGTTGCCACACTGGAGCACCTGGACCTCAGGGACCTGCTGCGGAGCTGGATTCATCTGATCCAGCTGACTTTCTGGAACTCTTCCTGACGGAGGAACTGCTCCAACAAATTGTGGATCAGACGAACCTTTATGCCAGCCAGTATTTGGAGACTAACACTGAGCCTTTGCCACACAGCAGGAGTAACAGGTGGAAAGAGCTCTCTGTCCCTGAGCTCAAAAGGTTCTTGGGACTCAGTTTCCTCACTGGTTACCTGAAAAAACCAACAGTTGAGATGTACTGGTCTACAGATGAGATGGATGCAACCCTATATTTTGCAAAAGTAATGTCTAGGAACAGGTACCAGCTCATCTGGAAGTTTCTTCATTTCAATAACAATAGGTCACATGATGTAGGTGACAAAATTTACAAAGTCCGGCCTGTTTTGGACTACCTGGTAAATAAATTCAAGGACATGTACAGTCCAGGGAAGAACATCTGCATCAATGAGGGAATGATGATGTGGCGGGGGCGTCTGGCTTTTAGGGTCTACAACCCTCAAAAGCCAGTGAAATATGGCATCAAGTCCTATATTCTGTGTGACTCAGCCACAGGCTGCTGCCACAATATGCTGCCTTATGTTGGGACAAGCTCCACACTGGAGGACACTGTCTTCTGGGTCGTCTCCAAGGCCGAGGTCACACACTTTTTATGGATAATTTTTATAACTCTGTTTCACTCAGTGAACATTTACTGAGGAAAAACACAAATGTGTGTGGAACTCTAAGGAAGAATAGAGGTGAACCAAAAATAATAAAAGAGGTCACAAAAATGCAGGTTGGAGACAGGATTGTCAGACACAACGGGAAGGTGATGGTGGTGGCATGGCAGGATAAAAGACTGGTGAAAATGGTGACGACCTGTCACCATAACACTATGGAGAAGGTGGAAGTGTGGCAGAAGGGAGCGAAGCAGAAGGTGCCACAGTGGAAGCCAGCGTGTGTTGTGGAGTACAACAAGTGTATGAATGGAGTGGATAAGTTGGACCAAAACGTGGCCTACTATCCATTCATCAGACGGTCCACAAATTGGTCCAAGAAATTCGTGGCCTATCTTATCCAGCTGGCAATGTTCAATGCTTTTGTCCTCTATAGAGCCAGACACCCCAGAGGAGAGTGCAAACACCTCCTACAGTTCCTCAAGAGTGTGTCAAGGTCGTGGACGTCAAGGAGGCAGGAGGAGGCAGGAGGAGATGATGAGGAGAGTGCTGCTGTCTTGGGACCACACAACGCCAGGGCTCCTATGGTTGACCCAGAGAGCCGGCTGGATGGGCAACTAAGGAGGCACAAAATGGAACACCTGATGGCCACTAGCAATAAGGAGAGACCGACCAGAAGATGTCGGGTCTGTTTCAGGAGGGGTCTTCGCAGGGAGACCAACAAGTGGTGCGCGGCGTGTCGTGTTCCGTTACACACAGGACAGTGTTTCACCTCCTACCACTCGAAGCTGAACTATTGGGAGGAGTGAAAAAAGCCCTCACACACTCAACTTTACACCACACTTTGTTCTATTTTATACATTTATAGTTTTATTGATTTTTGTGTTGTTGTTGTTTGAAGTTTGTTGATGGTATAGAAGAATGGTATCTGAATAAATTGCCAACAATTTGCCATCAAAAGTATTTTTTCAGAGTCATGTTTTTATCATTTATATAAGGGAACAAGTGTGAAGATGTATGAGGTGTCACTAAAGCAAAAAAATGCACCTAAAAGTCACTTTTCTGCTTGATATGTTCCTGTTTACATACAGCTCGTTTTCTCTGTTTTCTTGCTCAGACCAGGTGTTATGGGTGAAAGTATGCTATGTTCTATGGCAGATTGTGCAAGAACGGTAAAAGGTAGAAACAAACTGTTTTTTTCAGAGCACAGCAGAGAGATTAACCTTTAATTTGGTGCCCTTGGTGTTGACATACTCTAAAAAATGACTATTCTGTGGCTCTTCAAAATTTGTCAAATCCCCTGAAAACGCTGGCAGAACGCACTTCTCAAATCTGAAAATGCCTGGCAGTCAGTGAGTTAAGAAGCAGAGCGCGTTCACCGTTCTGTTACAAAATGACCACAGATAGAGAATACTCTCTCTGCCTCCATAGGTGTAGCTTGAATAGTGGTGAGTGATTCAAATAACTGTTGCGGGGGGTGGCCTCCTGTTGGTGGCTTTGAAGAGGGAGAACCCTTTTAGAATTTTCATGAAATCGGTCGTTTGTTTCCTCTGAGGCTGGCTTGGTGGTCATTGAAATGGCCTGTTGCAGATCTAATGCTAGGTCCCCTTCATACTGAGTCGAGACCTCTTCAGTCGGATTCGGGGCTTCCCTTTGTGCACTCAATGATGATCAAAATCGACGCCCACAGGAGATGGATTCTGCTCATCCTTTCCTTGGGACGTTCGTGTGACAACCAATCAGAGAGCTGCAAAGTGGTCACGGGGACGTAAGCGGACTGAGCGAGCAGACTGAAAATACTCGTAAACAGCCAAAACAGGACCCACACCAGACTTCACCAGAACTCAAACCAGGGTTGACAATGGGGGACTGTGTGCTTGTAAAAATATGCGTTGTCATTGCCTGGCCTTAGCCATCCGTACACTCCGCTCAATCATCATTTCACTGCATGTAACGTCTGGGTCTGGTCCCTGTGTTAGCGATTACAATCGGTCGTATTTCGACCGGCTACTCAGAGAGCGCGGAAGGCGGGTGTCGTAGGTCGGTGCCGGTGACGTCAAGAGTTTGCGCCGAACGGGCAGGTTGTAGTTTGGCAATGGCGAAGAATGCGATAGTAAAGTAATCCGGTCTGGTTCTATCAAGAAATTGAAGCAGGAGCAAGAGGAATGTTTCGCCGGTCAAGATTGTGGCGCTACTCCCCACAGGCTCCGTTAGCGGCAAAGGAGATGGCTAGGCTTGGCGAAATGCTAACAACACGCTCGGGCGCATTACATACGTCACGGTAAACTCAGATCCAATCGTTTCAATCTGCAAAAGGAGTTAACCCCTCCCACCTGTTCACGGAGCTCAATGGAGCAAATCCAGACCTTAGTATGAAATGTAATTTGTACTAAGGTGTGGTACAACCAGGCTAGCGTTGTCATGCTCCCGTGACCTTATGCAACTGCTTCGAGTGTGTTCGCCGATGTGGAAATACCGTTTAATAATATGAAAAAACGTATGGCGCACCTCCGTGAACACGTACTACTGTTGTATAAAGCCCGTGGAAAGTCTCTGTTCAAAGACACGCTGCAAAGCTGCACATTGGAGAAGATCTGTACATAAGAAGCCGCTAGCTAAACTCTGTTAGCATCAGAGCCTGTCGGCTACTTCCGGCGCGCGTCAGGACATCTCGGTGTGAAGACCCCTGCGTCTGAAAACTAGAGAATGCGCATCTGGTGAGCGGGGCTTCAGCGTTTCAGCGTTGGCGGTCTGAAAGCACCATTAGCAGTCCTCACCAGCATCTGTCTTGATGGCATGGCAAAAATTTCAGTGGGCCTTGGTGCTTGTGCGACTAAAGCACCAGGATCCAGAAGTGATAGTGGAGTTGTTGGATTTTCATTGAAGTGAATTAGAATATATTCAAAGTTTAGACAACTTTGGGTTAACCTACGTGTGTGATGGGACGCATCATCAGCATTCTCCCATCCCCCATGAGTGAAACACCAATAAGCAGGAAGCCGAAGACATCTGCTTTTGGTTAGGCAATTGAGGAAGGCTCTTCTTCCTGTGATTTGACCAATCAACGACGCTCTGAGTCTTCCCCCATTCTTTGTCTTTTGCTTTTACATCTGCCGAGACCCAGACTGTAGTCTGTAACATGTCTGTGTGTGTGCTTATGTCCAGATAAACTGTAGTTTGAACTAGCGCTGACAACATGTATTAAAGAGATTATGTTGTTGAAATGTGACTAGTTTTTTTCACAAGAAGGTACCTGACAAAAATATTGTTATTAAAAGGAGCATATTGAAAATCACTATTTAATAAATAATTAAGGCTTACGTAGAAGGCCTACCATTACAAAGACACTAGGTTCTTCTGTCTTCGCTGGATGAATTGCATCTCTCATCTCTTGGCTCAGTGGAGTCTCCTGCTTACTCAGCTGATCCATCATGAAAATAAAAAATCCATCTGCCTTAATGAGAGTGGTGTCTCGCTTACAAAGAGATTTGACTCCCATCCTCACCGGTTTCAAGCAGGAGCTCAGTTGTTTTACAAGCGCGAGCTGCTCGTTTGTAATTATTGATGCAGGACTTATGTCAATGGGGGTCTTGGACACTGGTCTATGGAGTACAGTGTAGCGATCCAACATTTCAGCCAGGCTGTTCCAGCGGTTAAGGCAATCCAAAATGAGAACTAACTCTTTCCCATGATCTCGTTTGGTGTTGGTGCATTCTCTCAGCTTGTCATTACTGACAGGTGACTTGTGGAAATGCCTGGCAAAATTTGCTCCACGCTCTTGTAGATTTCTTCTCTCACCCCGACTGACCAATAGTCTCCATCCTCAACACAACGCCAGCTCTTCTCGGTGACCACGGCGGTAGAGCCCATCTGTGACAGCCAGGTGAACAACATGGGCATAGCACAGCCGGAGATCAGTCTGCCAAACTTCACCATCACTGATGCTCCATCAGTAGTTCAGCACACAATATTTTCCTCTATGTCAAGCTTGAATCTTTGAAGCAGAGAGTCAACCAACTTTTTCACTTCCTCAACTGGCATTGTTCCGTTAATCTTAACGACACCTAGATTCCAGTATGTGTGTGCACCATGCACGTTTATGCTCATGAACCTTTTATGTTGTGAAGTTTCATGGTACGATGACGGGACCTCTGAACCTGGCCTCCTTCATCTGCACCTGCAGACTTGCCCTGCCTGACCCGCCTGGGAGTGCTTCAGTCCTGCACCGGACCTGTCCGCGTTCAACGGCCACTGGTCCTCGTTCTGTAGCTTAGGTCCTGGATTTATAGCCCGTCCGTCCGTGTGGAGCGGATCCCTTTCTCAAACTATGGGTCTCCCCGAGAGTCAGACAAGACCTTGTGCCACTGATAGTGCACCATGCAAGGGCTGAATTAACAACTATAAGCGATGAGCGGATAGCATATCGCCAACTACCTTGGCTGGGTTATGGACATTATAGACTGTGAATCACAGTGTTGAATTTGTTAACTCAGAAAACGGTGCCCAAACGCAACACATTGAGAGGTTCTGGCATTGTAAAGAAAATGTTTGGAGGCTGCGGGGTAATAGAACTGAAGCCATGCTAAGACAACACCCGACAGTCATTGAATGGTTTGAGTGGTTAGCTAAGCGCCATAGTGACAGTGCACTTCTACACGACATTAGCAAATACAAACCACAATAATTTTGAAGCTAGCATTTTCAACATTTCACATAAATACAGAACTCCATACATTGTCGCAGATTTCAGAAATGCAGCACACGTCGATACTTATTAATCCGTGTACCGTTCGTTCATTTGATTTTCCATTTGAAACCAACATAAGAAAAACGGATAACCACTGTTTTTTTTTGTTTTTCGTGCTTTAAAACAAAAACGAAAACTTGAATAACGCTCAGTTTTTTGAATTTATAATTTGTCAATTAAAAGAAAAATTATCAAACGGATAACAAGCGTATAAACTCAGTTTTTGCGAATTTGTTTGATACGCAGAGTTACCCGGAAGTAGTAAGCTAGTTAGCGAAATGATTCTCCGGCGTGTCTGTGGGCCGTGGGCACACACGATGGATTGCTTCGTACTTTTCCGAGAAGGCAAAAGGCTAACTCTTAGGTCAGAAGACATGACAACGGAGAACATTTCCAACATATTTCAGGTAAGTAGCTATGCAATCAGTGTACCCTTCGATCATTAGTTATTCCGTTTCAAAATAAAATCAGAAAATCAAAATTTCCATTAGTTTATAATCCGTGTACAATCCGTGTACCCTTCGATCATTAGTTATTCCGTTTCAAAACAAAATCAGAAAAACAAATTACGTGGTTGTTTTATTGTATTTCCATTACCTAAATTAAATTGGAAAATCAAAACATTCTAAATGAAATATTCACCCATTTCTTTGCTATGCAGTGGAAACAAACACTACTAAAACAACTTCCATTATTTTGTTTGATATGCTACCGGAAATGATGAGTGGTGAGAGACGGAAACAACTGCAAGCTGCACTCAACTCAACTCAACTACACGACAACAACTCGCGCTGTTGTTGAGCTCGCCCCTAGGCCCGAGCTCCAGGGGCAAAATGCTTACAGCACCTGGTATTCCCAGGCGGTCTCCCATCCAAGGACTATGGGGAAAACTTTGTGGGCGCTGCTCTCAAATAGAGAGAGCCGGCTTTCTCCATTCATTCTGGATTACACACGCACTCGGTAAGTCTCCTCTGATAAACACAATGTTTTTGTGCTCGTTCTTTTTGTTTCACTTCATAAATCTCTCATATTGTGCGTAGATCGTTCACACACGTCTGTAGTTTAAATCTCGAGTGTGTAGTGCGCTGTTTATGATTGTTTACCTCCGTGTCAAATGTTTGTTGCTGCTGCTGCTCGTAGATCTCTGTTTGGATCAATATTGTAAAGAAAACACTTTCTCTGCGTTGTCAAACAATCTGTATTCACTGTATTCTACTGTATACAGTAATGCAGTTTGTTTACGTCTGGTTGTAGTAGTATTTCCAGCGCTAGCTAATTATGATTAGATAATTATTGTTGATGTGTACTATCTATATGTATTTCACATTTCTATAGTTCAGCAACACATTGAGTTGAAAATGAATTATATGCAGTTAGTTTACGACAATGTATTAGTGTTTTACCAGTTCATATTTTCCTTCTATAACTGTACTTACTGTATCCCAGAGCCTCATGCTGCTAAGGTCCAGATGTAAACATACAACTGTATATGTCTTCTCTAGATTATACAGGATTCATGCTTCTTTATAATGCTAAATTTAATTATTTTATTTTTTATTATGCTAAAGATATATACATTATACATACTTCTCTATCATGCTATAGCTAGATATTTTATGATCTTTTTTTGTTGTTGCAGACAATATGAAGACATTTTCATTCTTTCCTGGCTGCGTCACTGTGATTTTTCGCAAGGGCCCACGTGGATTCCTGCTGCAGGACCCTTCGGAGGAGGCGAGGAAGATCAGGGACGACCCGTCCATGAGGGAGTGCGGTGCTCCTCTGAGGGAGGAGGTGGTGAGGGAGAACGCCCTCACTCTGGTGCGAGTGAGAGGAGGTGATGCCTCAGACAAGGCTGAAGTGCTGGGGGAGGACATCGCTCACAGCAGGCAGTAAGACCCGCACAGCGCCTGTTGTCACCATGCCCCCTGCAGCAGTGAACCCCGCTCCTCCTGCTCAGACTCTCATGTCACCGCTGTCTGAGGAGGCCATAGAGAAGGTTGTGCAGCAGATCTTGGAAAAGCAGCAGCAGCCTCCAGCAAATAAACCCCACACAAAGAAATGTCTGTCTTGTGGCCAGCCAAAATCCAAATATGAGGGCGATGGCAGCTCCATCCACGAGTTTTACCAGCCGGGTCCTACCAGGTATTTCTATTGCTCCACCAAGGTCTATAACACCTATCGCACAGAGGGTTTGACCAACTCCAGGATGCCATTCCGAGACTTTATGGACACTGAGTTCTGCCAGAGAGAGCTGGAGGCCACGCAGCAGAGAGTGAATGAGCGGCAGGAGAAGAAAAGGAAGAGAGATGAGTCTCCTGCCACTGGGAGAAAGTGCGGGTTCTGCAAACTGCAGCTGAAGCAGGGACCAAACAGTCCTCACATTCATACACAATTCCCTGGTCTGTCAGGAAAATACATCTACTGCCCTGCCAAAGTATTCTCCCTGTACAAGGACCAGGGGATGGAGACGCAGATGTTCCAGCAGTCTCCTTTTTATGACCGGGAGAGGGAAAGGTGGCGTGTAAATAAATGAGCTATCTGCTGTCTATTGGTGCTATTGTATCTAGTTACTATATTATACCTGTGTGTTCATAAATGTTTATAAATATTCTAATTATTATGTAAATATATACTTAATATTGATTATATCTAATTATATAATTTCATTTGTAAAGTCTGCATCTACAGTTCTGTATAGTCAGCTCTCAGCCGTCACAGTCACAGGGCTCATCACACAAATACTAGTTTAAGAAGATAAAGATAGCATGTTGTTGTTTTTCTTCTAAGTGTATTTCTTAAATTTGTAAATATCTCTTTTTTTCATCTGTTCACAATAAATATATTATAATGTCATACATTATTGAAGTCTTTCTTTTTATTGATCATATTTCAGGGCAAACAGTAGTATTTGACAAAACAATCTGTATAGAAAATAGAGTTCAGTGCCAATCAACGATATGCCCACTATACGCGGCTGGCCCCCGCGGCCCGACCTTGCCTAGCTTCCGAGATCAGACGAGATCGGGCATTCTCAAGGTGGTATGGCCGTAAGCACGGGGGTATGGAGCAGCGTGCCTCCTGACCCTGCTGCTGCGGTCCTCTCCTCCCCCAGAATGAGCGCTCAGGCCTGGGTCTGAGCGGGAGCAAAGCCCTCCCCGGTGATAGTCCAGAACCGGAGGAGTGCGTGGGTGAAAACCCTGTGTCTCTAGCACCCCTGGTTTGTTTTTGACAAGCCCTGGAAGCCGAGCTTCTCCTCCCCCAAAATGAGCGCTCTTGGGCGGATGGCAGACGCGCGGTCCCCCGGTGGTTTCCAAGGGCCATAACTTTCTGGTCCTTTATCCCCCGCGCGTCAAATTCACACCGCGGGTAGGACCAGGGGAGTCCCACCCCCGCGTCTGTAGCCCCCCTTCCGCGAGGTCTCTTCTCTCTTCCGGTGTCGCAAATAATAATAAAACGAAATAATAGTAATGCCATAATTCTTTTGAGAGTTTGAACAACTAGAGCCAAAACAAACACATTGATATTGAAGCATAAAGGATTTGATTTTTGAAGGGTACACGGATTACACGGATTGTGTACCCTTCGATCATGAGTTATTCCGTTTCAAAATAAAATCAGAAAAACAAATTTTCCATTCGTTTATTGGTATTTTCGTTTTCTAAATCAAATTGGAAAATCAAATCCTTTATGCTTGAATATCAATGTGTTTGTTTTGGCTCTAGTTGTTTAAAATTCTCAAAAGAATTATGGCATTACTATTATTTCGTTTTATTATTATTTGCGACACCGGAAGAGAGAAGAGACCTCGCGGAAGGGGGGCTACAGACGCGGGGGTGGGACTCCCCTGGTCCTACCCGCGGTGTGAATTTGACGCGCGGGGGATAAAGGACCAGAAAGTTATGGCCCTTGGAAACCACCGGGGGACCGCGCGTCTGCCATCCGCCCAAGAGCGCTCATTTTGGGGGAGGAAAACCTCGGCTTCCAGGGCTTGTCAAAAACGAACCAGGGGTGCTAGAGACACGGGGTTTTCACCCACGCACTCTTCCGGTTCTGGACTATCACCGGGGAGGGCTTTGCTCCCGCTCAGACCCAGGCCTGAGCGCTCATTCTGGGGGAGGAGAGGACCGCAGCAGCAGGGTCAGGAGGCACG